CAACAGCCCAAAAAAAAATTGAAGATACAAGATATATACAGTATAAGTAGAACGTGATCTCAGAGGGAAGGGCACTAGGGAGGAGGAAAGGGGAAGGACAAGGAGACTGGGAAAGGCCTCTTGCAAAAGATGGATTTGAGATGAATCTTGAAGGAAGTCAAGAGGCTGAGGTGGAGAGACAGCCAGCCAGAGACAGACACAGAGACAGAGACACAGAGACACAGACAGGCAGACAGAGAGCATTCCAGGAATGGAGACAGCTAGTAAACAGGTACAGTTGGGGGAGGCAGTGTTTTCTTTGAAGAACAAGGCCAAGGTTCCTGGACAGTATATGGAAAGAAAGAAAAAATTAGAAAACCAGAAAGGTAGGAAGGGGACAGGTTACAAAGGACTTTAAAAGTCAAAGAATTTTATATTTGATTCTGGTAGTAATATGAAGTCAGTGGAGTTTTGTGAGGAGAGGGGCAGGCAGTGACATGGTTAGACCTTGACCTTCAGGCAAATCCCTTTGACAACTACATTGGGGATGGATTGAAATTGATACTGAGCACACAGTAGCTTCTTGGTAGCTATTTGTTACAACTCACATTTACTTCACATTACAATCACTTTCGTCCAGAGTTTGAAGGGAACTCTCAGGCCATGTAATCCAAACTTCTCATATGACAAATGAGAAACTGTGGCCCAGGGAGTTACACTTTCTTGACCAAAAAATCACAGAGCTGGTAGTAATCAGAGTTGTTTGATTATTTTATGTTACAAGTGTCTTCTTTGTTTTTATCGGCTCGCTTTATCACTAAAGGAAAGAAAATTTTACAGCAAAGACAGTCCAAAACGAAAAAGAAAAACTGGAGGTTGCTTTTTCATTCTTTCTTTGTTCTGCAATTATAATTATTGTACACAAAACACTTGTGTAAGCACCAAGAGACCCAAATTCCAGTCTTAGTTTTTATATTTACCAGCACAGTGGTCTTAGATAAGTCATTTATTTGTCTATCTAAACTCTAGGATTTTTTTTCATGTATAATAGGGATGCAACCTAAATGATTCCTTAGCTCCCTCTCTACCACACAGGGCTACATAATAATCAAATGAGATGATGGATATTGAAAGGATACTACTTTGAAAATGGTAATATGTTATACACAGGCAAGATGGGAGGAAAGAGTGAGAAAGGCCAAAGACAACTTAAATGAGATAGGATAAATCCCATTGCAAGGAGGCATGCTAAGGTAAAAAGAAATAGGCTATTATCAAGGTCAACTCAATTAAGAAACAAAATCTAGGGAGATCAGTTAAGTTGTCATAGATGAGGAATCCAGATTAGATGTCCCTCCTCCGCACCTAATGAACGGGTTCTTATGGTGTAGAAATTCATTAAATGTAATGGCATTGTAAATGGATTGAATTAGAGCAAAGGACCAAGAACCCAGGCAAAAGTCTGAGCAATAAGATATCAGAATCTAGGGAAGTGTCTAAGGAAGAGACTTGCAGTAAGAATGGAGCTTGATACAAATCAGACCCTTCTTAGGCAGAGGTTATTTACATATTTCCTGCACCAGGCCAGAAATTGTCTTACAATATAGGCAGGACTTAGTCCACAGGTAGAGAAGAGCATGAAATATGGCAAAAAAAAAAAAAGAGAGAAGGAAAAGAAAAGGGAATAAGCATATATATAGTGCCTGCTATGTAACAGGCCCTATACTAAGAGCTTTACAAATATTATCTCATTTGACCCTCACAACAACCCTTTGAGGAAGGTAGTATTATTATTTCCATTTTACAGTTGAGGAAGCTGAGGCAAATAGAGTTTAAATGACTTGCCCAGAGTCATACAGATGGTGTCTGAGGTGAAACTTGAACTCAGGTCTTCCCGAATCCAAACCCAATGATCTAGGAAGACTGGAGCCAGGATCTCCTGACATTAGCATTCAAGGCCTTCTATACTCCCACTCCAAGCTACCCTTTCCACTCTTGTCTCCTATTACTCCCCCAATGCAATCCCTCATCCCACATCTATCAATTGTCTCCTAACTACCTTGCTTACTTTCGTCTCTGAACCTTTCTCCATGCTGGGCCCCCAACTTAAAAGTTCTCCCCTTTCTTCTATAACTACCCATATTTCACCCACCTCTCCCAGGTGGCCTTTTCATTTGACCAATGCCTTCTTTTGCTTGTAGTGGCCTACTTCAAGGGTCAAGGTGTTTGTTACTTACAAATTTCTACTTCCAGGAGCAAGTTTAAATGATTGACTGAGACCCTAAATATATTGCTTAGTATACAAATAAATTCCAAGTGCAATCACCCTTTCCTAAGTAAAAGAAACATTTTTATAATCCTTTTTCTGACATTTCTAAGGATTAATAGTTTTCTTTGAAGCATAGTAACGTAACATCATTGTTTGCGGTGCTAAAAGTTACTTTTTGTAGCTTTTGCAAGAAGCTAAATGGGCTTCCCCAACTCCCAGTTCTAAGATAACAATGGCTTCTTACAAGGTTATTCTCAAGATAAAGTAACTAATCTGGGCAAACTGCCCACCCTGAAATAATAACCAATCCCAAGGTCACTGGATATGTACTAATTATGAGAAACTGCCCAGTTATAAGCCTCCTCCCACATAATAGCCATTTGTTTCTGAGGCCACCAAGGATTTTGAAAGTATCCAAGCTGAGTTTCTTGAGTTCATAAAGCACTGTCTTTGAGCTCAGTCATTAGTACCTTGGCCAATTCGTGGCCCCAAATCTTCAAAGTCAATCATGAGACAAGACTTTTACTTATAAGCTACATCAAAAGCAGAGCAATTTATTTATAAAAGTAATAGCAATCCAGCTTCAAGTTGCATCATTGTCAAACCTCACTTAGATGCTAATTGTATCAGGGTTTCGATTGTCAGAAGCACAGAAGTTCTTCCCAACCCTTGGAATTAGCCTCCTAAACCTAAGCACTATATTTTGAGGCTCAATTCAAATCCCTTCATGAAATCCTTCCTAGCAGCAATCTAGTAATCTGCATCCTATTCTGTCATCTCTGACTCTCTCTATCTGTCTTTCTGTCTTTGTCTCTGTCTCTTCTAGTCATAGAAACATGAAAACAAGGGAAGACTAGAAAGTTCATGAATATACTTGATAAAAGTTCATCTTAAATCAACAAGAACTTATTAAACATCTAAAGTATACAAGACATGATGCTAAGCACCGGGGGAGTTCCAAAATTCAGATGACACAGAACCCCTGCCCTCCTAGAGCTCAGGTGGGAGATATGACACATGTACAAATGGCTATAATGCAAAGTAATATGTAATTGAGTAAGTGAAGGACAGGTGCAAATACAGGATTATGTGAAACCTGAGCCAGAGGAAAAGGTCATTAAGAGGGAGATCAGCGAAGGCTTTTTGGTGGAGGTGACTTCTGAGGTAGGATTTAAAGGATGGTTTAAAATTCAACAGGCAAAGAGAGGGATGGAACACATTCAAGGAACAGCAAACAACACAAGCAAAGGCACAGAGATAGGCATGCAAGATATTTTGGGGGGACTGTGAGTAGTGAACTTTGGCCAGAATATAGAGTACATAGAAAGAAGTGTGTGGAATAAGTTTGGAAAGTTAGGGTGGTGTCAGATTGGAAAAAGCTTTGAATGTCAGGCAAAGGAGTTCATCCTACTTTACCTGATAGGCAATGAAGGGCCACTGAAGATGGTTTTGTAGAAGGCGTGATGAAAAAATTATCCAGGTAGTGAAATTAAGGAAGGATTAGAAGATGGAAAGTAGAGGTAAAAACAACTATTAGGTTTTTTTAATGACCCAGGTGGTGGTTACAACTGCCCAAAGCTCCTAGGGAAGAGATGAATGTAAGGATTAATATTAAGATTTAATGTGGAGACCTGGTTGAATCTTCATATCTGAAGTGATGATATAAAATATCACATATACAGTTGCATCATATTATTATTTAACTTATCTGTTATCTGTCTCATCTGTTCATCTAACCTAGGGTACACAAATCTACAAGGCCTCCATGGATAGTTTTCAGGGGATCTGTGAACTTGGAGGGGAAAACAATTACATCTTTATTTTCTCTAATCTCTAACTGAAATTTAGCATTTCCTTCAAGCATTTAAAACACGATTCTGATAAGAGGTTCACCAGTCTACCAAAGGGGTTCATGACACATTAAAACATTAAGAATCTCTAATCTAAATTTCCTTATTGTTCTTTGGCTCCATTTCAAAGGTTTTTGTCAGGGTCTGACACATAGTAGGTACCTAATAAATGTTTATTGACTGACTAACTTTGGCTTACCCAAACTCCTATGCACATAATAGACATTTAAAAAAATTTACTAAATTCCTGAACAAATTAAAAACAGCTTACTTCCCAGTCATAGGTGGCTGTGGATTGATGATGCTTAAAAATGAGTAGGCTTCAGCCAGTACAAAGAAACAGGTCACTCTTTGTGTTCATTGCTAGTTTCTGGAAATAGAAGGGGGGAAAAGCCTTTGAAATCAGCCTTTACATGATTTACTTGAAGTCACAGTAGCTGTGAATTAAAATTTCAGGCAGCTGGCTACTGTCCCACATTAAGTGTCCCCATACCAAATTTCAGTGGAGGCTGCTGCGATAAAATGGAGACTGACAGGCTCTTGTTTAAAACGTATTTCCCTCACCAACCAGCTGCATAATAAGTGAGGCAGTGGTTTAAATGAATAACAGGCTTCTATTCCACTTCTGACACTCCCTCTGTCCTACTTAATAGTTAGTTTGGGTCCTAAGTCCTAGCCTAGAATGTGGGTAGGTCAAAGGGAGAAAGTAAGCAGATTCCACCCAGGAAAAAAAAAATCTCCCTGGAGTAGGCAAAGGACAAACAGACCTGAAATCTGTTGCAATTAAGAATTTTAGACAGTAAACTACATGGGCTTACCTGGAATCACTTTAGTGAAAGTTAGAAACATACAGCATTGGCCAGAAGACACATCTTGCGGCCCCATCTAACCCAGGCCTCACTTTCCCCAGGGTGAGATCACCTGGCATGATAACTTTGATTTTTCTCTTCTTTTAAAGAGTTGGAATTTGTTCATTTGGTGTAGCCAGGAGATGAAAACATTTCCACCTTGGAAATTAAGAAAAGTGTTCGTTTATTATCTCGGAGCTTTTTGACAGCTGTTCTGACAGAAACACCCAAAGCTGCTCTGTCCATCTCATCAAATAGTTTTGTAACCCATAGAAGGAGGCTGAGCAAGCAGTGCTGCAGAAAAACTACAGTATCAGGAGGCAGGAGACCTGGCTTCTAGTCCTGGCTCTACCACAAATCAGTCACATGACCTTGACCAAGGACCTTCACCTTTCAACTCCCTCATCTAGAAAATGAGGAAAGTAACACCTACCCTGTCTTGCTTCATAGGGTTATTTTAAGGATGGATAATGAATGCTAAAGGGCTTTGAAGACTAAAGCCCTATAAGGATATGAGGCACCTAGGTGGCTCAGTGGGCCTGGAGTAAGGAAGACTTCACTAGCTGTGTAACTCTGGGCAAGTCACTTAACCTCTGTTTGCCTCAATCCACTGGAGAAGGAAATTGCAAACCACTCCAGTAGCTTTGCTAAGAAAACCTCATGAACAGTATTGACATGTCCACAGGGTCTGGACATGACTGAACAGCAACAAATACTCGATGGGCTTGATGACCAAGGCAAGGGATACAACATAGAGTCTCCTAACATAGATTCTTGGGAAAGAAGGAAATAGCTTTATCTTGAGTTAATTTTATGTGCTAGCATTATTATTGATATTACTATTATTATATTTGAAGCAAATAAATACAACACTAATAATGTATTTTTTCCTATCAAGTCATTTCCCCCATGTCTGGAACGCATTTCCCCATCATCTTTCGCTCTCAAAATCTTTCTCTTTGTCAAGGCTCAGCTCAGGAGCCATGTCTTCTCTGAAACTTTCCCTCATTCCTTAGTCATTTATGTTCTCTCCTGATTCAGTTAACCTTGCACATACCTATATGTGTATATATTGTGTCTCTTAGAGTGTTACCTTCTTGACAGTGAGGGCTGTTTCATTTTTGGCTTTGTATCCTAATGCTGACACTAGGACCTTGAAAATAGTAGATCCTTAATAAATGACTGGTGAATGGACTTCTTGTTGGAAGCCAAGCCTATCTAAGTTGAGAGAGGCTCATCACCTAGGTACCTACTTGAGTTAAGAGTGAAAAGTTTCAGCCACAGGAACTTTCAGTGATCTCCTGTCAAAGATTGAATTCTGTGCCCTTCAAACTAGAAGCAACTTGAACATGTGACCTTTCACGTATAGTTTGTTTTGGGGTGTTTTTTGTTGTTTTGTTTAGTTTTGAGGGGGTCTAGGTAGGTGATTTTATTACAGAAAGGGTAGAAGGGACAGAAGAAAGAAAAGAAGGAAGGAAGGGAAAGAGGGAAGGAAGGAAGGAAGGAAGGGAAGGAGGGAAGGAAGGAAGGAAGGAAGGAAGGAAGGAAGGAAGGAAGGAAGGAAGGAAGGAAGGAAGGAAGGAAGGAAGGGAGAGAGGGAGGGAGGGAGGAAGGGAGGAAGGGAAGAAAGAAAGAAGGAAAGGGAGAAAGGGCAGAAGTCTAAATTGTACACCTCCATCTTGATGTCCTGCTATCATCTCAAACTCAGTATATACAAAATGGAACTTTTCATCTTCTCTCCTAAATCTATCCCTCCTTCAAACTACATAGGATCGTAGATTGAGAACTGGAAGGAACTTTAGGTGCCAATAAGCCCAACCCCTTCATTGTATAGATGGTTAAGTGACTTGCCCAAAGTCGTATAGCTAGTGAGTGTCTGACTTACTGATTCTACCACCACAATATCTCTCATTTACATCTCTTTCTTTCCACTTACATTGCTACCATTCTATTGTGGGTGTTTATCACCTCTGAGCAATTGCAATGTCTTCCTAATTTGTTTGTCTTTTTGCTTCCAGTCTCTTACCCTTTCTAATTCATACTTCACATAGGCACTCAGTTTTCCTAAAGCAGATCTGACCATGTCCCCTACTCAAAAACCTTTAGTGGCTCACTATTGTCACCATGATAAAACAGAAACTCCTTACGCTGGCCATTTCCATGCTATCCCACTCCACTGGGACTATGGTCCTCAACCCTTCCCATCAGACTCTATGTTGGTGCCTCTAAACTCTAATGGTGAGTTTTCATCTTTTCTCACGTAGAACTTAGCCTCCACGTTACTACCAGGCCATTTCCAAACAATGCTAGCACACATCATCATTTCTAGCTCCCCTTTAATGGGCTGTCTTCTCCCATTAGACTCCTATTCCTTGAGAGCAGGGACTATTTTGCTTGTGTGTATTTGTATCCCCAGAAATTTGCACAGTGCCAGGCACGATGTAAGTGCTTAATAAATACTTTATAATTCCTTTACTCATTCATTTATTTATCCATTCAAAGCCCAGTGTAATCTAAATCTACTCCAGTTTTCTAGCTTTATTTTCCATTAGGCCTTCCAAACTCTACTCTTAGCTGCTCCTCAGTCGTGGCATATACACTTCCAATTGCACGAATTCTAATAAACCAACCCCCTTCTTCATGCCCACAACTGAAATCCCCTCCCTCTCCTCCTCTGCCTTTCATAATCTTATTTCCTTCAAGATTCATCTCAACTCTGCAAAGTCTGCCCTGTTCCCCCAATCAAACATGTTCTCCCCCCCCTAAACATTTTCAGAGAATCTTATCTCAACTTCTCCCTTGCTACCATCACACTCTACCTTATGAGACATTTATCTGTACTCATGTTATAGCTCCACCTCACCCCAACCGAAATATAAGCACTCTGAGGGCACAGATTATCATTTTATCTGTGTTCTTAGCACCTACCACAGTGCCTGGCACATATTGAATAAATGTTTGTTTGGTTAATCCTAAATATATCGTTGTATTCCCATGCATACAGCCCACCAAGTATTTCTCCCCTAAAAATTTTGAAGAAAAGACTCACGTTAATTCATCATTTTGATTTCAACTACTATATTTAGTACTAGCTTTTGGTGACAGATGGCACGTGGACCTGTTTCAGGCATTATCCTAACATACTAATCATCAAGAACTTATTAAGTACCTACTATGCACCAGGCTATGGGGATATAAATACCACCCCAAAAAACTTCAACAATCACTGCTCTCAAGGAGCTTATATTCTACCAGGGAAGACAACATATATGTATATATATGCATATATTTTACAAGTATATATACATATTTATATACATAAGTGTATATAGAATAAATACAAAATAGGGAAGGCACTAGTGGCTGGAGGGAAGGGGATCAAAAAAGCATTTGTATAAATGGTGGTTCTTTAACTTCAACTTGAAGGAAAAGAGAGTTTGAGGCAGAGGTGAGGAGGGACCACATTCCAGGCATGGGGCATGAGCAATGCAAAGGAACAAAGCTAGGAGTGGAAGGTAGAGCATTGTGTGTAAGGAACAGAGGAAGGTCAATTTGACTCACCAATTTGGTAGAATGAGCCGACTCTTCCATGAGGTCTTTCCCATTACCCTGAGCTACTAATGCCCTACCTCTAAAATATTACTTTATATTAACTTTCTATATATGGTATATTTGTGTTTGTGTATACATGTTCTCTCCTCCAAAAAAATGTGAGCTCTTGGAAGGCAAAGTCTCTATTTTTCCTAAATATATGTACCTCTTCCACCTAGTATTGAGCCTGGCACATAGGAGGGATATATTCAGAAAATAAAGGCACTATAAAAATAAGCTCTGAATCAATTTGAAAAATAAATTACATTAAGGTTTCTTTTTCCACTACGAAATTATGTTTAGTAATATGTTTGCTCTATTTAATAAAGGCTTATTGATTGATTGATTACTTCTTCTCTGCTATGATTTAATATATAGGTGTAGACTTTTTAAACACTTTGGTGTAGTCTGATGTCCTAGGTCTTTAACCACTAATGAAACACCCCTACAAAAGAAAATGTTGCCATACCTTATACTCATACTCAGAAGAGAAGTATAACTAATGCTTTCTTTGCAGCTTTCTTCATTCCTGAAGGCCATCTGGAACTAAAGGAGAGGCAGAGGGAAGAAAATCTTTCTCCTCTTTTTCTGATATTGGTGGCAATTTGGAAAACTCTATCTTCTTTTTTAAAAAGTGGCATTCAGCAGTAAGCTGCCATCTTCTAACATCAGCAATAATTACTGAATTACACATTTGGGGTGCTGGTTTCCCTTTTGCCTCCTCCATAGAGAAGGTCATGAAGAAGTCCAAGGCCTTTTGGGAAGCTGATTTAAACTAAGGGATTTACCTGGCATTGTGAATACCAGTTCTTGTGTTTTTTGCCAAAATAAATGCTTAAAATTAATTCTGTCCCAGGTCATTGCAGAAACAGATTTTTGTTCTAACTTAGGAAGGAGTAGGTGTAAATGCTGAGTCAGAGAGGATGTCTTGGAAGTTGCCAAGAGGGAGATGGCACTAAAGCAAAGAGATCCACATTAAGAAATACTTTTAATAATAACACTTAGCATTTATTTGTACCTTTGAACATTATAAAATGTTTTTATGTACCATCTCATTTAATCTTCGCAACAACTTGTATCCTTAATTGTGTTATTGTTCAGTCGTTTTGGTGGTGACTGACTCTTCATGACCTCATTTGGGGTTTTCTTGGCAAAGATACTGGAGTGGTTTTCCATTTCCTTCCCCAACTCATTTTACAGATGAGGAAACTGAGGCAAATAGCGTGAAGTGACTTGCCTAGGTTCACACAGCCAGTAAGTGTCTGAGACCAGATTTGTACTCAAGAAGATGAGTCTTCCTGACTTTAGGCCTGGTGCTCTATCAAGTGCACTACCTAGCTGCCCATCCTTAATTTACTGGTAGAGAAACTCAAGCTCAGAGGGATTTGAGGGATTTACCCAAGATCACATAGCAGGTAGTGACGAAGCTGGGACTTAAACCTCTCTATGACTCCTGTCTCTGTGGCTTTGCCCATTTTCCTTTTTCTTCTCTGTCATATAAATAAAGTTGCCCTTAATCCTAAACCCTCTTTTCTCTTTTAAGATTTTGCTCCATTAGTCATCTCCTCTCTTCTCATTTTCAGGCTTTCCCTTTCTACTAGCTCCTTCCCCTCCATTTATAAACATGCTTAGGTCTTCCCTATCCCAAACAAAACAAAATAAAACAAAAAACCAACCTTTCTCTTGACATTACTATATCTTAAGCTACTGCCCAATCTTTTCCTCTCTTTTTCATTACCAAACTTCTAGAAATATATCCTGTTGAAATGGGATTATTGTAATTGGCTGTAGAGGTAGAATAATCAGCAATGAGGGAAGGGAAGAGTCATAAATAAACATATTTTGGTTCAATATAAGGAAAATATTCCTAACCATTTGTCCAAAAGTGAAATGGATTGCCTGAAGATAATGGGCTCTCCATTACTAGAGGTTTCCAAGTAAAAGACAGATGACCACTAGTAGTCATGGGACCAATGAGATGTTGTAGGCGAATTCCTGGTTAGATTAGGCTGAACAATGTCCATTCAAATCTCTATGACCACCATCTTCCCCCATCCAATATCTTTACCTGTTGAAATCCTTCAAGGCCTAGGTCTGATGCCACCTACTCCAGAAAGCCTTCTCTGACATTCACATCCCAGAAGAGGGTTGTGCATTTCACATGTAACTTATGGCCACAGCAAAAATTTAAGTGTCTCCACTATTTCATAATACTCTACTTAACCTCTCTTATGTTCTTAATCATATCCTAACTTGGATTTACATATGTTTCTCAATCCCTACACACACACAAACACACACATTATATTATAAACTCCTTGAGGGTGGGATCTGTGTAGTCTTTTATCCTTGGATCCCAAGGATTTAGCTCAGTGTGGTGCTTTGCATATAGCATCCACTTGATATATGTTTATGAACTTAAACTGAATCCAGGTCTTGGTTTACAGTGGGCTTTCTACTACACCAAAAATGCAAAAGCATTTTGGATCTGACAACAGAATTTTTGGGAAAAAATAGCACATTGAAAATCTCATTACAATGAATTCCAATGGTATTTTCAGATTCAATTCAATAAACTTCACTGACCACTGACTGATATGCAAAGATAACACGTCCTTACCCTCATAGATCTTGCAATTTAATCATCTTTGTAGTGCTGAAATTTTTGCTAAAATGAAAATTCCTATTTGTTATAGCTGATGTATCTCATTATAGATGTTGTTATAGTTATATTTTTCATAATGATATTTGACTTTAGGATAGACATGAGACATCTAGTCATAAATTTTATAGTTGTTCTTTTTCTGTGTTATTTCTGTCATAATAAAGAAAGCCTCCTCTCTGGAGAAAAGAGCAGACCACGGAGCCAGGAAATTCCATTTCTAACACATGCTTTCTGGCTGAGCCTGGCCAAAGCTCTCTCAGTACTCTAGGCAACTCTGAAACTAACTTGCAGAGACCCTTTATTGATAGAGGGAGTTTCCTCATCTGAGAATTCCTTTTATCAAATGAAATCACAGGTCTAGACCCTATCCCTCTCTAATTTACTTTAAATCAAGGAAATAATGTTTTGCTGATGTCCAGTTATTTCAGTTGTGTCTAACTCTTCATTAACCCATTTGGGGTTTTCTTGGCAAAGATACTGGAGTGCTTTTGCCATTTCCTTCTCTGGCCCATTTTACAGATGAGAAAACTGAGGCAAACAGGGTTAAGTGATTTGCCCAAGATCACATAGCTAGCAAATGTCTGAGGCAAGATTTGAACTCAGGTTTTGCTGACTCCAAGCCTAGCACTTTATCCACTGTGTGACCTAGTTGCCCATAAATGATGCTTAAGTAAGGTCTATGCTGGCAGAATCACAGTGTTGACCTACTCCACTTTAGATTGCTGCTGTCTTAGTTAATCTGCTTACGTTCTAAAGATACAAATTTCCCATAGGCAAGAGATAGTCATATACTGTGAAACCTCCGGGGATTTCAGCTTCCACACTCTTGCCTGTAGGAAATTTTTTTTCCTTGGGATTGTCCACTTTGGCAACACATCAGTTAGTCAATGTCCAGAAGCAAGAAGTGGGTTATTAGGAGCAAAAAGTCACCAAGTCACCAAGCAAATAAGAGCTAGAGGTAAGAGATGTAGCCTCCATCTAAAAGAACAAGTTTGTATTGTGGTATCAGTCAGACATGGAAACAATGAACATGAACTTGGACAGACTTTGAGAGATAGTGGAGGCTACAAGGGCCTGGCATGCTATGGTCCATGGGGTCACAAAGAATCAAACACAACTGAACAACTAAACAACAGCAACAGCATCAGAGCCGAGGCACGAACAGGAAACATGGTCAAAGGTCAGGCAAGAGAGGCAGAAGCAAGGTGCTCAGCATGGTGTTTGTGATACTATCCTCATCTGCTCTGAAGTGCGGTATCAACCCAAACTCACCAATTACTTTAGCTTCACTGGTCAATTATGCCATTCTCCTTTTAGGGTTTCCCAAAAAGGAAACAACTGAATCTTTGTAGACGTAGCATGTCGGCCTACTGATGAAACAGAAAATCTAGAATGAATGCTCTGCCTTCACCTTCTTTTGCATGTCACATGTATTCTGACGGCCACAAAAATGTCAGTCTTTGGGACCCCTATTGTGTTGCCATCGCTAGACCTCACAGCTGCTGTTTGCTTTGATTAGCCACAGCCAATGTGTGTATGGCCAAGTGAGGCATTCCCCAGCCCCTACTCAAAAAAAGAGATATCCTCCCCCTCACTTGTCGCTTATTTATCTCCACAGTGACCTCGCTGTCTGCGATTTCATTCAGGTTATCCATGTTTTCAACCTCTGGCTTCTCCATTCCCATTTTGTGTTTGTCCCTGACCCGGCCAATCTGTCCTGCACTGAGCTGGTATTCCCCCACCAATGCGATATCCTGCTTGCGTTTGGTTTCTGCTTATTCCTTTGAATTTGAAGTTTCCTGTGCTGCCCGCCCTCCCCAGCTCCCTATTTACTCACCTGATTTCTCATTGACATATTCTGCAGTCACAAGCTTCTTATAGGGGCTCTTCCAAGCAGGGAACCCAGATGTTGAGTATTAATACCTTGCTTCGTGCTGTGCTTTGGCAAGGCTCCAGGGCTGAACTTAAGGTATTGATCACTGCAGTAGCAGACAGGTTGATGCAGGTCACTGATGAAAATCCAGGCAGATTTGGTTGAAGGGGAAAGGTCAATGATCTGATCCCAGAACCAGAGAACAGGGTAAAGGAGAAGGCTGGGGTTCTGTCTTCAGACAACAACTGGAATCAATCCCTGAGAATTTTGTTGCACTACCACAAGCAAATGTGTGTCCTTTTCTCTGAAGGGGCTTAGTAATCCTGTCAAGTCAATACATAATTATAAAGTGCCTACTTTGTGCCAGGCACTGTGCTAAATGCTGGGGAAATAAAGGCAAAAGACAGCTCCTTCTCTCAAAAAGCACACAGTCTAATGGCGGAAACAATATATAAACAAATATATTCAAGCAACCTATATATAGGATAAATCTACAGGGGAATGGTACTAGCAGGTCTTAGATCCATTAATCAGAGGATTCTCCTCTCCCAGGTTGGTATCCTGGTAATACTTTCAAGTAATATTTTCTTTTCCTGCCCCCCACCCCAAACACCTTGGGAAACAAGCTTAATAGTGGTATTGCTGGGTCCTGTGAATACCCTGTGAATCTGTGTCATAGAGTAGGGCAGGGTCTTCAGGGACAAATAAGTAAATACAGTGAAGCATACAACAGAGGACAATCCTTCCAAACCCCCAGAGTCTTATAGGATCCTAGATCTTTGAGGCGGGAAGCATCTCAGAGGTCACCTAGTTGAGGCTCCTCATTTTTAGAGATGAAAGTCAAGAAAGGTGAGATAGGTGATACAATGGTTAGAGTGCTGGATTTGGAGTCAGGAAGACCTCAGTTCAAAACCTGCCTCTGATACCATGTGACCTTAGACTAGTCACTTAACTTCACTCAGCTTCAGTTTCCTTATTTGTAAAATGGGAACAATAACACCACCATAAAGTTGCTTATGAGGATCAAATAAGATAGCATATGTAAAGTGCTCTGCAAACTTTAAGTTGAAAATAATAACAAAATTCATTTGGAAAACAAAAAGTCAAGAATATCAAAGAAATTGATGGAAAAAAAATGTAAAGGCAGCTTAGCAGTAACAGATCTTAAACTGTGTAATAAGGGTGGTAATTATTAAAACTACCTGGTACTAAGAAGTAGAAAGGTAGATCAGTGGATCAGAGTATACATACAATACATATCAGTAACCTTTTGTTTGCAAATGTAAAGATTTAAGCTTTTGGGATAAGAATTCACCATTTGGTGAAAATTCTTGGGAAAACTGGAAAGCAGTCTGGCAAAAATTGAGTATAGGCCAATATCTGACACCATTTACCAAGATAAGGCCAAAATGGACACGTGACCTAGATATAAAAAAGACATGATAAATAAATTAGAAGAACATGGAACATATTATCTATTAGACTTATGGATAGGAGAAGGATTTATCAATACATAAGAGATAGAGATCATTGTGGGATATAAAATGGTTAATTTTGATTACATTAAATTGCAAAGGTTTTGTGCAAATAAAACCCATGTAGCCAAGATTAGAAGGAAAGCAGAAAATTGGGGGAAGATTTTATAAACCTTTTCTCAGATAAAGGTCTCATAACTTAAATACATGCAGAGAACCTTGTCAAATTTATAAAAAACATGAGTCATTCCTCTATTGATATATGGTCAAAGGATATGAATAGGCACTTTTTAGATGAAGAAATCAAAGCTACATATGATCATATAAAATATTTTAAGTCATAATTGATTAGAGAAATGCAAATTAAAACAACTTTGAGATATCATCTCACAACTATCAGAAGGGGAAAATGACAAATATTGTAGGGGATGTGAAAAAATGGGACACTAACACATTATTGGTGAAACTGTGAGCTGATCTAACCATTTTGGAGAACAATCTGGAATTATGCCCAAAGAGTTATTATTAAACTGCTTATACCCTTTGGACCCAGCAATACCACTATTAAGCTTGTTTCCCAAGGTGTTTGGGGGTGGGGGAGGAAAAGAAAATATTAATAAAATATTTCTATCAGCTCTCTCTGTGGTGGCAAAGAACTGGAAACTGAGGGGATGCCCATCAATTGGGGAATGGCTAAACAAGTTGTGGTATATGATTGTGATGGAATACTACTGCACTCTAAGAAATGATGAGTTGATTGATTTTAGAAAAACATGAAAAGACTTGTATGAAACAATGAAGAATAAAACAATTAAAACCAAGAGAATGTGGTATATAATAACAGCAATATTGTTTGAAAAATAATTGTGAACTAAGCTATTCTGAGTATTATAAATATTCAAATCAACTACAAAGGACCTATGAAGGAAGATGATAGCCACCTCCAGAGAAAGAACTGATAAATAGGAGTATGCATATTATGGTTTTATTTATATGTGTGTATATATATATATATAATATACATATACACACATATGTATATTATATATGTGTGTGTATGTGTCAGTCAGATGGTGACCTTCTTTAGTGTGGAATGAAGAAAGACAGAGACAGTTTAGAAAATTAAAATTTAATAAAAAAATTTTAAACCTGTAAGTGCTATATATAAGTGCTATAAATGCTGGCTATTATTGTCATTGTTGTTACGTGACTTCACCGAGGTTATGTAAACAATAAGCACCAGAGACAGGATTTGAACTCAGGTCCTGTGACTCTACAGCTAGTAGTTATTCCAGTGTATCATGCTACTATTTTTCTTCATTGTTATCTAGGTGCCCCAACCCCTCCCACATGTGTACATGTGCACACATGTGCACACACACTCACACACACACACACACACCCCAGACCCATGACTCAATCCTACCAACTGGGCACTAATCAAAGCCCCAACAGTTCAAGATGTCAAACAATGAGAATGCCAGAGAAATCTTTTGTCGTTTCTCCCCCAGACTGTAAAAGGTGAAAATACCCCTGTGTGGTTTTGCTCAGCTCTCAAGTGCCAGTTTTAAAAATACTCAAGTGTGAAAAATTTTTTTTTAAATTAATGACTCCAGAAGAAATTTGAGAAATGTTTCAACACAGTCAAAGTTCTCGTGTATGGGAGTGATTCAGAGTGGAGTTCTCCAAGGAGCTAAGAGTAGAACTGCCCAGGAGGGATGTCAGATCCTGGACAGGCTCTTTGCTCTGAATCCAGTGTGTAAATTGCACCAATAATGCAGGGCTAAAGCCACCAGTGTGATTTTACTACCCACCTGTTTCTGCTGATAATGATGGCTTCTTTCCTCTCCCCTCAATTCAAGAACTTGAACCCATCAGAGTCCAACAATGATGGTGACAAGGCCCTATATTTATTAAGTTTCATAACTAATTCCAGGGCAAGCTGTGCTCATTAATAGTTCTTCAGAGTGTGCCGTCATTTCCTCAGCCACAGCTGGCTGCTGCAATTGGAAGCCAGAATGTGCAAGTAACTTCCCATTCATTCATGGTTTCATTCGCAATGGAATTCACTTGATTCGCTCATTACTGCTTTAATCCTTTGCCACAGGGCTCTCTGTGGGTCTCCAGCTTCTACTTCGGAGACAATTTGAATGTATAAATTCATTCATTCTTTCCATTCATTGATTTAACAAACATACTTTGAATCACCACTTTGTGCAAAGTTCTGTACTGGGTGCTTTGGAAGATAAAGAAAAAGACATGGTCCCTAACCTGAAGGCTTTTATAATCTATAGGAGTTAATTGGTCTAAAAAGGGAATTGACCTAACAGCATACAAAGAATGCAATGCAGGTGACGATAAAAAAAAAAAAAAACCAGAAGAGAACTACAGAGTACAACGGGGAGTCTAAGGAAGATTCACACCTGAGTAGGAAGATCAGCAGTAGCTCACATTTATATATTGGTTTAAGGTGTGCAAAGTTTCTCTTTCTCTCCCTCCTCCTCCCCCTCCCCCTCCCTCTCTCCCTCTCTCTCTCCCTCTCTCTCTCCCTCTCTCTCTCCCTCTCTCTCTCCCTCTCTCTCTCCCTCTCTCTCTCCCTCTCTCTCCCTCCCTCTCTCCCTCTCCCCCTCCCTCTCCCCCTCCCTCTCTCCCTCCCTCTCTCCCTCTCTCTCTCCCTCTCTCTCTCCCTCTCTGTCTCCCTCTCTCTCTCTCTCTCTCTCTCCCTCTCTCCCTCTCCCCCTCTCCCCCTCCCTCCCCCCAGCACTCTATCCACTGTGCCACCTAGCTGTCTCTGTTTAGATCACTCATCTCTCAACTTTTAAGATCATGTGCTCATATCATGTACTCACTCACATTAGTAAACAACTGAGAGGAAAAAAAATTGATCACATACCCTCAATATGTGTACATTTCCTTATTTATAAATTACGTAAATTATTAAAAAGTACTTAGCACCATGCCTGGCAGGTAGTGGGTACTTAATAAATATTTGTTGACTCATTACATACAGGTAATACTGTATTAATACTTATGTGGATTATAAAACTTATATGATAACAGAAATTTTTAAAAGATGAAATAAAGGTGATATTTTATATTCATTCATACATTAAATAAATATTTGTTAAGCACCTATGTGTCAGGCACTAAGTGCTGATATTTGATTCTAGAGTCAATAGGAGGTCACTGGAGTTTACTGAATACAGGAGTGATACACATTAGGAAAATCCCTCTGGAAGCTAGAAACAAGTGGATAAAGATGATTCAGGGACACCAGTTAGGAGGCTTTTACAATAGTCCAGGCAAGAGGCCATGAAGACCTGAACTGGGTAAGCAGAGAGAAGGGATAGACATAACAGACATTGATGATGTAGAATCAACAAGATTTATCAAATGTTTGGATGGGTGCTAGTGAGGGATGATACCAAGGTTGTAAACATGGCTAGAAGGATGGTAGCACCTTGATAGAAATAGGGAAGTTCAGAAGAGCTGTGAGTTTAAGGGAAAGATATAGTAATCAGACCTGTGGTACAGATCACCACCCAT